GGACTGCTCCTGGCTTGCTCAGCCCGGCCAGCTGCAGACCTAGTGAGTTCCTATTCACCTGTGTTTTCAGCCCCAACTTGGTCACTGTTGTTTTGCTAGAAAGTGACACTGGCCATACAAGGCACCTTTTGTCTGAAAGCCATTTTCCATTTCCTGTTGGAACCGAAGGAAGAATGTTAACATTTCAAAATGTCATTATTCCATGTGGTTGTAAAAAAAAAATAATATTTCAATGATCATTCAAAGTAGGATGGAAAACCCTTAACTCACTTTTGCTGCCAGGCAGCATGGTACGATGGGCTCAGTGTAAGACTACCAGTCAGGCCTTCTGACATTTCACTGATGTAGCAGGTGAACTTGGTGACAAAGAACGGAGAAATGATGTGTCCATGAAGGCTGTTCACAAGGGCTTACCTCCAGCAGAGGAGTATCACCTTCCTAAAGTGGCAATAGAGCTTTATTCTGAGCAGTGATGGTGGAGACTCCACTAATGATAGAAGGGTCTTGAGTGGAAAGTTGGGTGGAGGGTAGAGAAATTCTTTTCTATTTCTGAATACTTTTTGAAGTCCTCACTGAATGTGTTTGAATTCCTCCATGTGTGTTTATACTACACAATCTGCTGTTTGTTTTGCTGAGTAGGTCACATTCTGTTCTTGCTGAGACTGGCACGGGGCAGTCTTGGTGCTTGTTTGGACAGTGCTTGCAGAAAGAGGGGCTTGATTCTGCCTCAGGCTCCTATATGCTGTTGCAGAGTTATAGGCTAATTTAGGTTGGAAGGGCCACTGGAGGTCATCTGATCCAACCTACTGCTCAAAGGAGGATCAGCTTCAAAGGTAGATGAGAGAGATTGTGCCATACCACAAGTTTAGAGAAATGTTTTTTCTAATGGTGGATTTATTCCAAATTCACACTGACAGAACAGCAAAATTGGCCCATCTCTAGTATTAATTTGTTGACTATTCTATCAGTATGATTATAGGGAGTATATCCACTAGATGTAGAAAGCAATCCAAAGTTTTCATTAATACTACCTTTGATATTCTGTCAGATATCCTTTGGCTGTGCTACATCACTTCTCCAGGTTCGCTTCTCACGAACCTTCAAAGAGTTACATTTCCTGGTAGGAAAGCCCATAGGAAGCACATTTAAAAGTTTCACACAGACAAATAGTAAAACCCTTGTGAAATTAAGGCAATGGGTGAATTCAAGGAAACTATACTTATTCATGAAACAGGTGCTCAGCCCAGTGGGTGAACGATTCTGTGTTATTAGCACAGCCCGTTTTTGATGTGTTAATTGCTGAGGGTGCCGTTACTAAGTCCGATGGCGAATAAGAAACCCACATCATAACTTGATAGGTTTTCTTGTTTTGTTTTGTTTTAATCAAACAGCATGGGAATGAGCCATGATGATGATCACCAACCCTGCGCAGGGAGGTCTCATATTATGTCTGGAGAATGGGTGAAGGGCAGGAACCCAAGTGACCTTTCCTGGTCTTCATGCAGCCGCGATGACCTTGAAAACTTCCTAAAGTAAGGATTTTACCGATTATCAAAAATCCTTTCAGGCAAGAAGCCACTGTGTTATTTGAAAGTGAAAAATCTAAACAGTTTTCCTTAAAAATGTGTGTGCATTTGTCAGGTTGTGCAAGTTTGACTCTGTCTCCATTACAGTAGCCCCTTTGAAACTGAGGTGCGCAGAGGCAGAAGAATTATGTGCAGTTGTCAATGTACTGATAGCTTCTTAAAAACAGTCCTAGATCACCCTCATTTTACAAAAAATGCCCTTCATGTTTGTGATGACAGAAATCTATGTATAGGTGACCTGAAAAAATCTTCTCCATTGAAGGGTGCTGCCAGCTTAGTGCTGTGGCTTTCACTGTCATTATTATTATCAAATAGCTTTTATTTTATGAAAACTTCATTTTGCCTGGAGGTAATTCTCATGTCTTTGCTCACTCCTCAGTGAGCGTTGGTCTTTAACAGTTCACTATAAACTTCTTTTCCAGTGCATCTATATTTTGGTTCATCATATTCAACATTTCAGGAAGGATTTCTGTCCTGCTAGCCAGCACTGTATTTGTCTGAACTCCGTAATTGTGGTCTTAAACCTACAGTGCAACTCTCTGACAAACAGTGTCTGGCATAGTGGCCAGTGCTTTTGTTGCTAGAAATGGGTTCAGCATGGAAAATTCCCCACTCTGGAGATTAGAGGTGGGAGGAAAAGGAAAATAATGAAAGAAAATGGAATAGCTACTGTTACATTAAAGGCATGAAGTTGAAAAAGAAGTTGCATCTGAACTTGCTCTGGTCCCTGATAGAGGGGAGATGACAAACTGATATTCCAGTTTGTAAAAGATTGCTGTGACGGCAAAGGGAAAAATCTTTCCTCTTTGTCTGTGATGGATAACAAAAGAAGCCAAGGGCTTAAAATTCAGCTAGGGGGATTCAGGTGGGACGTGACGGAAGACTTCCTAGTTATCATTGTAAGGCTCAGGAAGCTTTGGACTAGGTAGCCTGAGGGCAGAATTGAGTCTCCATCAGATTTTTAGCAATAGTTTAGACAAATGTTTAACCCAGAACAATGTGAATATAGTCGATTCCACCTTGAGGCCCAGGCCAGAGGTGAGTTCCCAACGACTTTTCTATGTGTAGTTTTCAATGATTTAAAAGGCTTCCAGTTATATACTGGGAAAAATCACTACCGTTTCACATGAGGTCGTCAGATTCCCTGTTAAAGAAAGGACAACAGCTTCTCTACAGCAGTGTTCTAACGCTCCAGTTCAAAGGTGTTTTCCCTTAAAGGCATGTTTGATCCTTTTGTTTTCCCTTAAAGGCATGTTTGATCCTTACACTCCGCAGGTCCAAGGTCAGCACCTGTTTGCTGGTAACAGACCCCCGAAGCCAATACGCTGTGCGACTCCCTCACAAGCTGCCTGGAATGCACTACAGTGCCGATGAACAGTGCCAGATACTTTTTGGGACCAATGCTACATTCTGTAAGAACATGGAGGTAAGAGCTCATGGGGTGTACCTGGGAACAAGATGGGAAGTGGAGATAAAGCTATCAAGCACTGGGGAAGAAAAGGAGTCTGTACTTTCCTCAGGACTACTTCATGGAATTTCCAGCATGTTGAGCACTGCTGATACAAAATCAATAGTCAAACTCCCATTGACCCATATGTCACCAGCACATTCTTATGCAGTCCTCTTCCTTTCCTGCACTGGTCTTGTTAAACTCCTAGAGCAGACCTGAAAAAACTTTTGTTTGTACTCGCTCTTAATTTAGGTACAGTTCCCTTTTGACACTGTTTTGCTGAAGTACTCGGTAGAGATTGTTTTGCTGGGAGTTCAGCTGAGGTGAAAGTCTCTTCTCACAAAAGTGTTTGCCTGCTTCCACGGAGTCAGCTTAGATGACTGGATCTTTCAGTAGACCTCACCTTCAGACCGCTACAATGTTCTGAGGAGCTGACTCCAACTCTGTGCCAAAGAAATATTAATGACTACTTGTTTGATGAGATCATTTAGAGATTTGTGCAGAATTAGACCCCTTCCTGTGTGTTTTCTAAGCAAGACGACATTTAGTCAGGATTTGGGTGGGATATGGCTTATATTACATGGTTGGTTGGCAAAATGGAAACACTGATTTTTAGTGTCTCTAGAAGTAGGTCGTATTTGAGACGAGGTGTCTGACTTGTCCTCTGGAATTTAGACAGCTAAACTTTTCCTAAGGGCTTGCACATAATTAGATGTCTTCATTCTGACCAGAGCTTGTCTGCATCCCACTTTAGATAGGGACTGGAGAAATGCTTACTTCCAGTGTGGCCTTGGAGATATCCAGAAGAAAGTCATTAGGCACTGTGTCCTGTCACCAGTATCAGCTGGCAGCATTCTGTCCTATACAGACAGGCAAGAAGCAGCCAGGTTTCTTGCGGTCATTAACTAGCCAGTTGTATTTTTCAGTTCTCCCTTATTCCTGTTCTGAACAATCCTGGGATCTTAAATCAGTGTTAACAAAGAAAATAATAATCAGTGATAACTGAGGTTTCTAAGTGCCAAATTACTAAAACTGTTGAACACATGCAAGTCCTGGGAACATGCTCTTAGTTTCACATTTGCTGTTTTATTTATTTTGGATTTGGAAACGAGCTAATATAAAACAATAAGAAAAGAATCTGGGTAGGTTGTATTTTCCAGCTTCATCAAGAAAATGCAGACCACCAGGACTACTGTACTGGAAGGAAAGTATTAGACTATAGATCTGTAAAGAAAACTCCAGATCTACCCAGGATGATTCAAGTTCTTCCACTTCTGTGGGTGTCACCCAGCTTGACTGCTGTTGGAATAGATATTTGCTATTTCCCTTGTTGCGATAAAAAACATTCTGTTTCTGGAGTCCAGTGCCTAACGAGAATGTCAGCCTACTGGTAGGTGGTCAGAATTTCTCATGCAGAAATTGCATGTCCAGTCTGGAACTGCTTCAGGGACAAGTTGCCTGCCAGAAAAACAAGCCAACAGGCGCTGTTCTTCTCTGTAAGACGCAGACAGCAGGTGTTGGTATCTCCCAAGATTCTTCACCAGTCTTGTTATTTGCCATCTTCAGAACACAATGAAAACTCTGCTTTTTCCCTCCATCACTCCTTTAGTATCTCCCAAAGAAAAGCACATTTAGTAAGGGTAAGGACTTTAGTACTTTCTAAGGAAAAGCCTTGTAGAACTTCAGTAGATGATTAAAAATAATTTGAAGTATTTACTGTTACGGATACTCATTTAGAAGTATTTTTCTGTTACGGATATGCATTAAGAGGTAGCAGTCACACTGTGAAGCTTTGGATCAATTATGTCACACTCCATGAATTTAAGTAAATATTTGCATCCTGTTGTGCTGCTCTGAATTGATGTTTGAAGGCAATGAAAGGAAATTCTTCAGAGGAAATGATCAGCTTTTATTTTTAAACCTTCGAAGTTTGTATTCTTTTCACCTTTGTGTTTCTCATGCCTCATCTGCAGAACGCTTGTATCGTAAGTCTCAAAGCTGTCTACAAAAATATGAACCAAAAAAAAAAAATTGGCACTAGTCATTGGCATTAGCTGTAGAAATTATTGGCAAATACAGCTGTCTACTCTTTTAGCCAATGGTAATGTGGTATTTTTAATTCAATAAAGTATTAAAAAAATCCAAATGTAAAAGTTATAAACATTTGACAGTAAATATTTGTTACAAAAAGGAAATAAACCTCCGGAAATGAGCCTGCTGAATCTTTTTATGATTACATGTGTCTACTGTCTATTTTCTTATTTAAAAGAAGCATTACATTATAACATTTCTTTGGAGATAGTTGAGCTATGTAATTATATCAGGTAAACTAGAGGACCTATATTCAAAAATGTGATACAATTTGGTTGTAGAGAAAATTTCGGAGATCAATGAATCCGAATTGTCGACATTTTTGAGAAACTGCAGAAACTTTCTGCGCAGTAAGCTCTTAAAAGGCATCAAAGCCCACATTTTTAAAGGAATGCAATCTCCTTTGCCTTCACAGAGAGTCAGGTGCCTAAATGCTTGGCAGTGTCTGGACCTCAGACACTGGTCCAACTAGATAGTTAATCCGGGAATATTCAACTTTATCTGAATATTTCAGATTACATCTTCAAAATTCTTCTTCCGTGTTTGTTTTAATGATAACTCAGATGCTCTAGTGTGAAATAGTAGCTCTCAGAATTCTAAATTTGCCAAACCAGCTATCCCGCATCTATTCTGCTCCAAATTCGCAGAACAAAAATGAAAACATATGAAGCAGGCTCAGCTTTACATATACTATACCTCTGACATTCCTTTTTAACATGCTTGGACACTGCATCTACATTTTAATATACCAAGATTTTAAAAAAATGAACTAATTAATGAGCCTCATCATAGCCTATTGTAATCTATGACCTCCAAGATGTATAATTTAGGATCTAGTTCTGTGACATCAGTGTTAGGTAAGATTTACTAGTACGTATCACCTGTTTAAGGAGCTGTGGAATCAGGCTTTTAGGCTGGATGCTTGTTAGGCAGGGAACAGACATTTTCTATTTATTTGAAAAAACACCATTTCTGTTACGATACTGTATGAATAATAAATGGCAAGATTACCTGCCAACCCCTTGAGGGAATGCAAGTCCACTTTGGTGCATGATCTGTTCATAGTTTTACTGGTTTGAGATACATCCAGATGGCTGGTTTTGGATTAATTTTAGCCTGGGTATTAGATGTCCTTGCCCATCATCAGGAAAGTAGAAGTTTTCATGGCTCCGTGGAAGAATTAGTTTTGATCTGAGAAACTGAATAAAAAAATAGAAGTTGGGCAGCTCTCAAGTGAGATGATTTCATATGCAATCATGAATATCACAGGACCCTTCAGTAGTTCCCCCTTCATATCTAGGTGACGTAGTTTTCTCTGGTAATATGCAAAGGGGTCAAAAGGGCTTTCACATGGTGCTTTCTGTTCATCTTTCCCATTGCCAATGTCAGGCACTGTCTGATCAATGGGGATGCTTTTCTAGCAGGACATACAAATGGGCTTCTACCATACCAGACACTCTGCCCGTTTCCAGCTGGGAGGCAGTACAGGCATGCCCCTTGCAGTGCTAAAGAGCTTTTGGCCCATCTAAGAGTTTGCATGGTGGTCTTTATTTTGAGGGAGATAAGTTGCTTTTAACTGAAATTAAATAGGCGACTGTGTCATTCTCAAGCTCCGAGCAAAATACTGGTATGAGTTGCAGAAAAAACTGAAGAGCAATGCACCTTTGACACTGCTTAGTGCGTTATCAGCACGCTCCAGTCATAGAGATCTTTGGGATTCTGGTTGCTACATGTTGGTTTGAGTCCAGGGCTGACATGCTGGGTTGTGCAAATTACTGGAAATTCAACCTGTCTGACCTCTGTTCTTTGAATCAAGTATTGTGAATGCGTTTGACCCCTACGAAAGAGGAAGCAAAAAGCTTCAGCCCCACTCAAGCGAAGTCTTCTGCAGAGAGGAGACTTTAACCCTTTGCTGCCCCCTTTATTTAGCAGTTCTGTCAGCGCGAGGAAAAACACAGATGGTTTGTACTGAATTTCTCACAGAGTGGAGACGGTGTTTCTGCACCAGAAATGCGTTAAAATACGTTGTCGGTAACCTCACATGGAAGTGTGCTGTGTGTTTAGTCAGAACACTGAGCTGCTTTTTCAGACTGGCATGCCTACTAACAGAGGCTTTTGCACCGAAATTATATTTATGGAAAAAAATGTGATTTCTATCTCTTGTATCCAGTGTTTGGCTTTTTGTTTTATATGCCTTTTGGCTTATTTATTATTAACACATTTTTGCGGGTTTTTACATAACCATTATCTTTCCGTATTGTTTTGAGTCAAAAATGTGCTTAGCCTAAAATGGCATGTGGAAAGAGATTAGCATTGCTACAAAGAGATTTTTTTTCAGAAAAAGAGACACTGTCAACTGAGATGTAACTGGGAATGTGGATTTTGACATGACGTGGGTTTTAGAAAATTTAAGACAGCTAGAATTTGCTCTACTCTTTTTTTCTTCAGTTCAAGTTGTTTTTTAAGAAATACCAGTATCTCCTGGTATCTGCATGCCAGAGGGTAGCAGCACAGAAACCCGAGAGTGAAGTTGTTTGTAAGGCAAAGGAGACTGACTAGATTTCTGGGCTAAAACGGAAAAGGAGAGGAAGCAAAAAAAAACCCACCCAAAATAAAGGAAGAGCAACAATTGTAATAATCAAGTGGACTTTATGTATTCCTTCAGTTTTCATATTTGGTGGTATGATGGTGAATATAATTAAGCAATTGTAGGGCTCTCTGTGGTCTTCATCTTGCAAAGAGACTGGCGGAGTGGACTCTTGGACTCCATGCATGGGAATCAATGGGCCTCTGTTTTTTCTTTGCAGAGCCATTTGCAAGATTCAGACGATGATAGTAAGCCCTATTATTTAGTAATGTATAGAATATTTACAAGAACATGGTAA